ACTTGAGATGGTCTACCTGAGCTTAATCAGACACAGGTCATTAATGTGGGCAGTGTGATCTACCTAGGATAGTTTAGAGATAAATCTGTGTTTGGACTGAATTGCCTGTCATACCCACTTTAATAGCCCAAAGCTGACTTGACGTTTTCATCTCTTCTCATAGGTTCTGGTGCGGTGGTAGGTGCGCAGACCTGTCCTGGCTGGACCATTCAAACTTGAATATTCCTCTGCCGTATTTGGGGACATAACTGAAATGACTAAACCTATGACTTTTTTTTTCCCTTAATCTGTTTCTCCGATCTAACCAGTCAGATTCTAACCAGGGAAATACTTCTTTCACTTCTAAGAAAGAAAATTCACCTGTGTTACGGATACCTGTGTAAGTCAATGACTTAAGAAAGGTACTTGAGGTACCGGTAACAATCTCTGTTATTTTGCGAAATGCACTGTGAGCTGTAAAACCTTCTGTCCACACAGAGCTGGATGGTGTTGCCACTTGACCACAAGTGGTGTCCCAGGTAGCTTATTTACGCATGCACGGGTGCAGTGCTGGCTTCACTTCAGCAAATAAGGCATCTTTGCACTTTATGAAGACTTTGATTGACTTGGACACAGTAGTAAGGCAGCAATTCTTTGTGTCCGCAGGAAGCTACCACCATTCCCCAGTTCTTTGAATGAGACACTGGATTATAGACACTCATTGCTCAAGAAGTCAGAGCAGGTAATTATGTATGGGTTAAACTCAGGTATCCTGGATTCCAGAGTATTGCCCAATCTTTTCACTTTTCCATAAGGAAAATGACTGTTAAGAGCTTGATGAAATGTGTTTCAAGAGTTCCTTTCCTCTCCACATCACTGGAAAGTACAGATGTCAACTTCACAGAATATATTTTGTAAAAATGTATAAATAACTATAATAGAATGTAATATAATCTGTAAAAATAACTCCTGTATCTTTTCTCTGTGGCTACAAGAAAAATCTAGAGGCTACATAACCACTGAAGTTGCAGCTGCTATGCTGTTCCTTGTAAGCTAATCCTTGGAAGAGGAGATGTGTTTCATAGCAGCTATTACTGAACATAGAACAATGATTTCATGTTTAATATACAAATTTCATATACTCCTTATATTTGGAGGCTGATACAGTGATGGACATAATCTGAAACCAGCTTTGCTGGCCAAGCTGGGAAATTCTTCTGAAGACTTGTTAGGCTCTATGATCAGCTGTGATTAAAACTCCTCAGAGCAACTAGTTGCACTTTCCTCAACTTGGCATCATAATTTTCAACTGTAAATCTTTCTAAATACTGAAAATATACTATAAAATAACTTGTAACAACTAACAATACAGTGGAAGAAAATCTTAAGCTGTTTTTTCCAACCACAGTAGAACAGCAGGTGTGGAAGAACAGGTCTTCAGACACAGAGGAGATGGTTCCTTTTGAACTGTCTCTGTTATCGCATGGCTCCTTATGCTACTGTTAACCTTGCTCCTTCAAATGGTACCTCCTGGCTACAGAAACTGAGGCACCACAGCTGATTGCTCGTCATCTGATCCTTCAGCTCTGAGTGAGGTCCATGCTTTCCTGAGACAATGTATCTACCTGAATTTAAATACTACCTTTTTTTTTTTTCCCTTAGAAACAACAGCAAAATTCTCTGATGTACAACACAAAAATTACTTGCATAGTTGACACGGTGGTCCAATTCATTACTGTATTGTCTTGCTTATTCCAAGCTATCCTAAAGTATCCTTAGCAAACCTGGAAGAGAAAGGGAGCTTGAATTCTGTGTTGCAAATACACTTTGACTCGTCTCTCTCTCATGAGTGTCCCTCATTGGAGGGACGTGTCCACAAGCAGAAGTCAACTGGAGATTGTATTGCTTTTATTGGAGTAGTTGTCATGAGCACTGGATTTATGCAGGTAAAAGTTCTATGCTGCTTCCAGATAGAAAGTTAGTTTTTAGCAATTGTAACTCGGGGCAGCAAGGAAACAAAGTTTGGTGTCGGAATCTAGCCAGGTAGCTCAATGGGTTAGATCAGCCTGAAAAGTTCTTAAAAGTAGTATGGAGAGGAATGTGTCTACGTCGATAAAAGATACAGACCCGAGATCTACTTGCTTGCAACAAGGAAGAATCCCAGTAACTCCCAATTTATGCAATGACAAGCACTTGTCATATCCTGACTGAAGTTATGCTGACCTCCTTTCCATGCCCTTGTCTTGAGTCCTGGAAGCCTTTGCCACCTTTCGAAGACTTACATATTTGATCTTGCCAGCTTTCTCTTCAATAACAGTGCACATTCTTAATGCCCATATATGGGAAATTTTATATTTAATTGAAAGTTACTATAGCTCTGATGGACATGTCTGAGTACAAAACAAAGAACTATATTAAAGATGACTCCTTCTACACGTTTCTTCTTAGCTTCTCCTCCTTACAAGAAGACGATACACATTACAATTCTCCTTACATCTCATTATCCCTAAAAAGGTTTTCCAGTAGCCATCTCATGCTTTGATATAACTAACTTCGTAGAGGCAAACGGGACACAAGTAAGATGGCATAACATCTTCCCCGTTGAGATAAAAGTGAATGTAAATGCTCTCAATGTGAAAAAAAACATGCTTGGGCATCTTGACACCACAGCTGCTTTATGCAGACTGCAACTAGCTTTGGCCAGGACAAATATCCTCCTCCAAATGGAGTAACAGTCCCAGCTGCAAGAAGAAAACTGTATTAGTTTGTCTCCTACTACTCTTCCAATCTTCTCTCAGCCTTCTCCTGATTTTTAAAGAGTAGAATTTATTGTAACTTGTCTATAATCCATATCATAATTATAATTTAAATCTTGCTTTGCTTCTACACTGACTGCTTGTAAATTTTTAATTAAAACCTGTTCACTTTTATACCATCAACCTTCTTTTGAATCTGAGCATGAATAATGTGGAGAGTAATAAGAAACTCAGGCCAAGCCTTAAAAGCATTCTAAATCACTGAAGTCACTATTTAGTCTAACTTTCCTTTTTTGAAGCGGGAGTGCCAGTTGGCATCTTCTGTAGTATGTGTTGTCTTCATACCTTTTTATTGCTCAGTTACTAGTAACTAATCGCAGAGCTGCTCCACAGCACAATGTATGAATAGTGCTCTAACTTTAAAACACGTTCTTTCAAGCAACTAACCATGGAAAAAATAAAATTCTTCGAAGTGATAAAACTTGAAACTTTTGTCCTACATGGAAACTTGAAAGAAAAAGCCAGCAGCAGCAAGCACAAAAATGTTTTCTAGGAAAAAAACCCAACAAACTACCAGAAAACAGCAACACTGCAGAAAAAGCTGTCTTAAATTCAGGTTCTTATACTGCTGTTCCCTTTCCAAAGATACTTTCCCTGAAAAAAACGTGAGTCATGAAAAATAGCATTCAAGCGCTGCTTAAGGGTGTAAGAGGACAGAATGGTAGCAATACCACCACCTCTACCTGTAACTTAAAACATGGTGCATATTCTTGACATTGAGACCTGGAAAGAGCTGCCAAGGAGAACAATGGACTGGAATCATTCCTCCCTCTGCTCCCATTCCTGTGAGAGACAGTTTGGGTGACTCAGTCCAGACTCTCTATATTTATGCCCAATAGATGTTTGGCACCTCAACAACTGTGGAATTTCCATGACTTCCTCACGCTGTATATTCTGGTGCTTTGCTAACTGTACTGGTTTGCCAGCTTTCACTAATGCCTCATTTGTCTCCTTTGTGTCAGCTGAAGCCTGTTACTGCTTCTGTTTCTCAGCATCAGGCTGTTCTGTGTTTATCCACTGGTACTATAATTCTCTTTTAGTTTAGCTAAAATCAAACATCTGTAAAAACTACAATCTAAAAAATGATTGTAGAAAAGAACAGAACTTCGATGGTTCTTTTCTTGCCCTCTTCTGGACTCTACACTTAATCAATTAATTTCTTCAAGTACAATGCCCAAAACTGAAAATTGAGTTTTACCAGCGATGAATGAAAAAGGATTACTTCATGTATTTTACAGGGTTTACCACATACTGCAAAACCCATATGATGGCTGCATTTTTTTTTTTTTTTTTTTTTGAACAGCATGACCCTGACTTATCAATTGTAACTCTCAACATTCCTGTAGAGCCATTCTGCAGCTACCTCTTCCCTGGCCTCTACCTGTGGAACCTCTTGCTCACGTGTGGTACCTTGCAATCGTTCTTCCAGAAAAAAAAAAAAAAATGAGTAAACAAGGACATTTAATTTAGCCTTCAGCACCTAAGTTCCTCTTAAAAAAAAAAACACAACCAAAAAACCCACAACCAAAAAACCACAAATACAAAAAACAACACCCCAACTTGAAGAGACCTACCTAGTCAAGGCAGAACATTGTTTGTGTTCAAGGCAGCTCCAGTTTCACCAGTTAAATTCCCACTTCTTGATTAAACCCAATTTGGATTAACAAGCAATGCAGCTGAGTACAAAATCCTGTTCACCTATTTCTTTGACTTTGACCCTACTGTTTGCACAATATGGTGAATCAGAACAAGGAGCTGGTTTCTTGAAACACATGGTCATAACCAAGGAAAATAATGAAATAAAAATTCCTCTTTATCACACCTTTAGCTGGCTTCAGATGCATTCTCTCAACGCTGTTCTCACTACTTTCAAAAAGCACACAGAGAAAACATGCAAGTGTACTTTATCATTTAATAGAAAAACAGTTATCAAGTGCTGTTCTAAGAATTAATTTTGCAATTAAAGAGTATAAACATAAGTCATAATTTAAAAAAGGGCCTATATACCAGATATTTCAAGCTGTACACATCAAGGGAAGCAGCACCATAGCTTATTGAGGAACAAATCCCATCCATAATTTAAACAGCTAGGAACAAGTCATTTCATACCAAAAAATACAAATATTTGCATCCGTACCATACTTACTGTACTTCAGAGACACCTAAATAGTACAAACAGGTGCACCCCATTTTGTTTTCTCATACTCATTGTTTCATAATGCTATTTTGCAGAGTTCTTTGTAACCTAGCTATGTTGGCATCCAAGGCTGCTAAGCTATTCTTAAAGTCCTCTTCATCTCGAGAAGTAAATGTTGAGAAAGAGGATGCACTCCATACAGACTTTCCTGACATATCATCAAATAAAATAGAACTAAAATCAGCTATTTCATTGCCTTTTTTCTGAGCAATGTCTTTCTGAAACAGCATCGGTACTTGATGGTATGTACCAGGCTGAAGTTGGTCTGGTTTGTCTGTGAAGTCTTTTGCAGCTCCGCTTGGAGTGCCTTTTGGCCTCACTTGGACTTTCTCTCCTTCCAGCTTCACTTTATCCCCTGTAACTTCAAGTGTGTTTTCCATAGTCTTTTTCACACTGTACCCAGCACTTAATTTATCCAGAACAGTTGGATCCTTTGCGATCTTACGTCCATTCTGCTGCACAGAGTTTGAGAGCTCACAGTAGTAGTCCAACTTCTTACAAGCCCCTCTACTTTGGGGCAGCACACCACTTCTTTCAGAGATTGGCTGCTGCTTTTTAGAGGCGCTGCTCGTCAATGGAATATAAACAGTCTCATCCAACTTGTTTTGGTCATCTAGTAAAGTCCCAGAATCACTAACTGTTTCTGCGTCTTGCTTCGGTGAGGTTAGTAGTATTCTGGGAGCTGTTGTTCCTTCTTCTGAGAATGTACTGTTTATTTTATCTCCTTCAGCAGCAAACTTTTCATAGGCTAGATTTTGCACTTCTAATTCTCCACTTTTATTTGAGAACTGAAGTTCTGCATCTGTCAAAATATGATCCATTTCTAATTTTTTAAGGTAAGTCATTACTGAAGTATTCCCAGGAAATGGATCAGGTTGCATCTGCTTTTCATGGTCTTCCAAAAGAGACTTCGAGAGACCTTTTTCAGGTTTGGGTCTAATGTTGTCTACTGTGAGGTCAGACAGAAGCTTGGCCATACTGCCCTGCAAGGTTCTGTTAAGATAAGATCAATTGATCAGATTTTTTTTTAAAAATAGTCACTGAAAAAATACTTTTCTATAAAACCAAAACATTAGATTTACCAGGCTGCAGCAAAGTTAAAATTATCTTTCTGTATGTTGTCATATAACGTAATATAAATGTGAACCAATTCCAAGTTTCTTGAATTTCTTTCTTCAACTCATAGAAATGTGCCTACAAACCAACTAAAACAGCATAACTCACTGAAGTTCTCAAGATTATTCCCAACTTACCTGCTTTGAGTACTACAAAATAAAATAAACTGATGTCAAGAAACTGTTACAAAGCATATAGAAACAGCTATCAAAATAAGTGACAAAGTTTTTCCAAAATTATTCTTCCCACTGCATCTAAATAGAAAATAAAACAAATAATTCTTCTCAATTTCTGCTTGCTACATCAAAAGAAATGAACACTTAAATGCTTATGTAGATAGCATATACATATACACATGTAATAAGACATCATTATACTACCATCTGGTGGTCAGTATAATAGTCACTGAAGTGTGTAATATAGATTCTTTAGTAGACATTTAGATAAAGTGTTGACTAAAAATACTCCGCCATTCTAATCAGTATCATCTATAAACAAGACAGACAACAGTTTAACTTCCTGTGCACATAAGTCGAAACAGATTTTATGTACGCACCACCCTGCATGTGCAAAAAGCTATTTAAGTCTCCCAGCTTGCCACCATACTCATCATAAAAGACCATGGTGAAATAAACTCACACTAATAGTTCTAAAAAGCTGTGAGTGACACCACCTTCATTCGGTGATTCACGAATGCCTACCTTTACCTGTAATTAATATCTGGACATAATCTACTTCAAATGTGTGTACAGTTAAAGAAAGGACTGCTCATTCCCACAGGAAGAGCTTGTTGTGGGTCCTGAAGACAGATCTTTCCGTGAGTTCTCAAAACAGACCGATTTCTGAACCAGTGTAGAGAAAGAAAGGAAAAAAAAAATATCCCTACTTAATTTAGGTTAAGAGTTAGTTTCCAAATTCTACAGCTTCAAGGGAAACATCAGTGAGTTTTCAGGTCCACACACTTCCCATAGAGCTCCTTATATGGCAGGTCTGCTATTAAGAGTTGAACTTCACACAAGTTCCAGCAGATAGCATTTTACTTCACAACAGAACTCAAGTCATGGAGCATGACAACTCTGTTTTAACAAAATTACAGCACCATTGTAGCAAAAAGTAACTACAAAGAGAAGTTTTAGCCTACATGACCTCCTACCACCAGATACTAAGACTACAATAATCCAAAGCGGGGGGCGGGGGGGAGAGAAAAAGAAAAAAGAAAAGCAATGTCAAGAGGCAAAAATAATTGCTCAGCCAACAGTACCTGGTTAATTCACGCAGTCTGTTAACTTCCGCATCACGCTGACGTAATGTTATGCCCAAAATCTTATTTTCTTTCTCTGAAGCTTCCAGCTTAAACTGAAGGCTCTTCACATTTGCTAATGCCTCTTCCACTTCTAAAATGCCAAAAATAATTAACCTAATTATTTCTTTTAAGTTTTAAAACATTACATGAAGAATAAACCAATTCAAAACATGTACCAATCTTGAGCTTGGTAGAATGAATGTCATAATGCTGTTTGTTTTCAAGCAATTCTTCTTCTTTATCTTGAATATCTTTTGCAAGATGTTTATTTTCTTCTTTCTGACTTTCTATTATTTTAAGTAGTTCTTCATTTTTAGCCTGCAGTGACTCAAGGCCTTTCAGTGATTCTTTCAATTGACTCTGGAGCATCATATTCAAGGACTGCAAAGAAACTACTACCAAAAGTAAAACATAACAAATTTAAGTGTTTTGTGTGCTACAGTTTAAATTTTTAAATCAAACTAAGTTTTTAAGTAAACTTGGTAATACGAATTTTGCTTTCAGGTAGAAGGGGTTTTTGAGGCAGTAAGATAAAACTCAAGCTTTCTTCTTAATTATTTGTTATCTTCATTTTAAGAGGCACATAAGGAAAAATAATCAGCTGAAGAGCTGAGTCCCACTATGTGCACTCTAAATAGGCACAACAATCCACGCAAATGCATGACTGTTTGCATGATTAGACACAAAACACTTAGTTCAGTTGCCACTAAAGGCCACAATATGTCTTGTTATTTTTTATTTTTAGATATATATATATCTCTTTATATGTCTGTATCTATTTAAATAAACCTTAACAAAAAATGCCGCTAACAAGCGTCATTCCCTATTAGTACTTTACATTCATAGTTGCAGCTCTGTCCAGACATCTTCTCACTTCTTTCTCTTTCCCCAAGTTGCTGGTTTAATATTCTTAGTCTCCTAAATGTGAATTGTGAAAAAGCACAAATTCAGACAGTTCAGAATAAGTTCAAAACCACTGCATTTTCAATGAGTTTGGTAAGAAAGTGCTACAGAGAATTAAATGTCACAGAATGTTTCCAAAATATAAAAACGTTTTAACAATGCATTTTTCTTATTCCTATCTTTCTTCAACACAAAAGACCCTTTGCAAGTTGTGGTAAATACCTCTCCCTCTGTTCTGAAGTAAAGTGCTACCTAGTTACATATGTGAGAGCTCCCCTGAAATGAGCACCATTTTTGCATTTGAGAATACACTACAAAAAGAATATAAGCAGGCTAACTACCTTGTTACTGCAGTTTTCAGAGAGAATGATACATTGATCCTACATAGACAACAGCTTAATCACTATGTAACTGATGCTACTAAAACATGAGCATTAACTGAAGTCTTGCTGTGTGTTAATTATTTATTTTTAAACTATACAGCCTTACCAACACACTTTCTAATATATAAACACTGCACATGACAATGCTGAAATATGCAATTTAGAACAGACCAGTTAGAAGATGCTTTAGGCACATTTACAGCAAATACAGAATCACTGACGAGTTACTAACCTACGCAGCTGGGCATTTTCATTTCTGAGAGGCTGTAAGGCTAGCGCTATTTCAGCTTGTACATTCGTACTTCCCGCTACAGCTGGGAGTACTGATATGCCATCTTCTATTTCACTCATCAACCTTAACATTTCCAAATCATCTGCACAAGGTGAAGGAAAAAAAGACCCCATAAACATATAAACCTGTAACATGACAGTAATATTCTATATGCCGTTAAGCAACCTACAAAGTGATAAAATAGTATCTACTTCCCCCCCCCCCAATAAAAACTCATCTTTATTTCAACTATATTTATTTAAAATTTTTAAGCTTAACTATGAGAATTATGCTTTAGGTTCTTGATAAATCACAACCCACCATCTCTCTGCCAAGCCTTGGTGGGATTGGTGTTGCAATCTGTCTACATTGCTGCCTTTCTCAGGGGAAAACACTGTATATGAAATGAGAACAATCTTTATCCTAGCTGTTACAATAACATTAAAATACTCCAAAAAATAATTTAATACTTATGCAGAGTGAAACATGAAGCTATTAAAGTCATGGAAAACTACTCTAAGATGTCACATATCATCTGACATACAACTTCCAGAAACCAAAGTGCTCACTCATTTAATGTTAACTCTTATGTTATTTGTATATAATCACTCTATTGCACAATGAAAATGTCCTCACCTTGATCTGTTATCAGCGCTCTGAGCTCTCCCAGAAGATATTTTACAGTCTTAACTTTATGGGCTGTTTCTTCTTGGCCTTCTCTTCTAGGTTTCAGAACTTTCTTCACAAAACTTGCATCTCTCACTGGGGCTATGTCAAGTACATTCAATTCATCTTCTTCACTGACCATGTCCTCACTGTGTTCTTCAGAAGTATCCTCCTCCTTGTTACTTGAAGCATTATGCTTTGCTGGACAAGGATGATGCTTCTGTTCAGTCCTGCTGTTCATCATTTCATGTGATTGCAACAGAGCCAGGTGAGCTCGTATGCATCTCATCAAATCCACTTCTTTTATCTGTTGCTCGTGGTTTGGGGTTGTCTCTCTGCCAGAAGATGATGGGATGAGTGTAGGCATTGTAGAGTTACTTGATGCACCTGATGCTATACAAGGGATCACGCTAGGAAAAGTAGCAGCAGACTGTATTTGCGCAGCAGTAGTAGGAACAGCAGAAACTACTGGGCAAACCACAGGTCTTCCCATCTCTGGCACACATTCATTGCCACTGTGTACAGGAACGTCCTGCATAAGGAATACTCATATTAAACAAAAAATTAGCATGATTTTTAAAAAATCTTAAAGAAAAGCCAAAACCCCCTTGTCTGACGCAACGAAGCCTTGATCATTCTTTGCAAATTACAAAAGCAACTACAACTCATTAATTGCACAATTCTCCAGTACCTTAAGGAGTAATTAAAATGTAAATCTGGTTTAGATTACCTTTATCTTACATGCTATTGGCAAGATTAAAGCACAGTTCTTTTTCAGCTGTCCTGTAAAGAAAAAAACCTCAGCAATGTTTTATTTTGGGGTTTTTTTTTTTGCTTTATGAACCCTCATTCCTTGAATCAAACCAGAACAGGGAAGAAAAAAAAGACAAGACTGTTACCTTTCAATATTTTAAATAAATGAATTTCTTAAAAGACAAGGACAGCACTAACTATACATGGACTGTGTACAGATGGAAGGTAAGTCCACAATCTCACAGTTTCAAGGTGCAAGCTCCTTACCACATTTCCCAATGTGGCAGTTTGTACCCTCCATTAGTTCTATTCTATATGCTGAAATACACAAGTATTTTAAAATGTGGCTCTACGATAACACACAGTGTCTGAAAAAATAATCAACTTGTTCATTGGCAGGGAAAAGCTACATATGAGATTTGATTTCTTTTACCAGGAGTTGCTTAATGATCCTAATATGTGTTACTGAGAACATCATTATTAACACTAATGAATAATTTCCTGCATCTTCCATGTTTGCTCTCCATTACAGAATTCATTATGCAGAAACAAGCAGCCAGTTGAAATGCCTCTAATTTCACTTTTTCGTGTCCACATAAAATGTATTTTAAATAGCAGTATTTTCTCTCATTATTTATTCTGTTCATCAGTATAGGTTGAAAAATGCACTTTTTTTCTTTAAGGAAAATTATTACATAAACCCAGGAAAACCCACACACAAGTAAGTGTATAAATAAACAGGCAATGCTAATTTAAAATGTTTATTAATAGTCAGAATCAAACTTTTACTTACTGACTGAGTAGATAAGGGATTAGCTGAATGCTGCAGGGACAGAGCTGATGTGGAGGTAGGTAATTGATAACTCAAAGATGTAGCATTTTGACATTCTAAAAGAAAACACTCACAGATCAGGACCGTTTCAGACAAAATTCATACAGTAAAATACAGGCTCTACATTAACAGTTCCACTAACCGTGATTTGAGGTAGGAAAAGGAATTACAGTAGGAATTTCATTACTGTTCTGTGGTGGTTGGCTGCTTATCAGAGACATCTGAGTTTGCACATGCTCACACAGTTTCTGGTGCATCACAGGAGAGTGTTGTGTGCAAGGCACATGAAGTGGTTGAACCATCTGATTCTGTGCTGTACTGGAAAGTTCTTTCTCAGTAGTAGGTGTGGTGGACGACTTAAGTTTTCTATTTGATATTGGCACTATAGAGAAAGAAAGAACTCAGCTGAAGCCATCTGTCTTCTCGATCTATAAACACGTTGTGTTGTCAAGCAGATTCTGGCAGGTTCCTTTGGAAAAAAAAAAAAATACCAAAAGACCCTACAGCCTAAGATTCCAATCAGATTTTTACTCACCAGCAAATTAATCCATCATTTTTTTCTTCCAGACAGAGCAACTTAACCCAGTTGGACAGACTGCTGTCCTTGAAGGAAGCACAGAGATTTAATCCTACAGAAGGCCAGCTCTAAAATACAATTCTTAAAATCTCTGCTTAGCTGCCTCCTAAGTTTTTAAGTTATTCAAAATAACCCATACCAAATAACCTTCCAAACCTAATTTTCTTATGTTGGGTATCATTAAAACTCCATATTTTTATAGTGTTGGAAAGATATCAACTGGGCACTCAACTTCTACAATGCACAAAGTAGACATTCTGCTACACACCTAGTCTACAGGCCCCACCTGTCTACTGGATTAGAAATCACACAAAAGAAATGGGGTGGAGAGACGGAGAAACACTAATAAAAAGGGAAATATTTCAACTGACAGCAACTCAGCCTAGACCATCTCGGCTATCTAGACCATCTACCTTTCCATTCAAGTGCTCTGGACACCAAGCCATTTCAGTTCTTATTCTTTATTACAACACTTTCCTGCTTCCAGAAACTGAACTATGAGAAAAGCCAGGCTGGACACCTAACTCCAGGACAGTTTATAGCTGCGTATCCCACAGACCAAGCACTGTAATGCTTCACTGTCCAAGAGAAATGGGGCATGGCTATTATCATTCTCCTCCACACTTCCTGCCAGCTAAACTTGATGACGTTGGTATTTGTAAAGGCACTCAAATTCTTCTTCCTTGTACCTGAAGCTCAAACATTTGTGCGTTTCAGTAACAGTTTAGTAAACATTTAAGGCTTCTAAAAGGCAATGAGTAAAGCCTACATCCTTTTGTGGATCCAACCCTGGATCAACCTGTAACAAACAACAACAGTTATCTGAAGCCTTGTTTTATTTCCTCAATAAGTTGAGGAGTCTCTCAATCTAGTTTGAGGAAAAAAAACAAGCCCAAGAAAGCCCACTTACCAATTTCTTTTCGGACATGGGCAGGAGTAAGGTTTTTTTTCAACCCTTTCTTCGTGGAAGTGTTTCCTTTGGTTAGCAAAGGCTTGGAAGTAATTTTAATGGAAGTTGTTTTCCCAGCTTGTTTATGGATAGTGTCCCTTCCTAATATTAGTCAAGACAAAAACTAGTCAACAAAATGAAAAGTCTTACAAAAACTAAAAATATAACTTAAATTTTCAATAGGTACAACCTGTAGCCTCATTTTGTAAGATATTCTTCAGTAAAGCTGCACAACGGTCAAGTCCATTATGAATAGTATCAACCTGCACAAAGAATACTGCAGTCAGAAAATGAGTATCACTGTTTTCTTTCAGAAAACCGAGATACTATTTGAGAGGGGAGCATTCCTCACACTGTCACCTGAAGAACGACTGACAACCAGCAAAAACATGTTAATTTTCCAGGTATTAATTTGCGATTACACAAAAGTTTGCAAACGCGCAAATTTTGAAAAAAAAAACAGAATTATGTTGTTGCACACGTGTCCATTTGCTGGATTTTATGTTTTGATAATTGCATGTGTGTGGTTTTTATTTTTATTTCCATGTACAGTTAAGCTATTATCTACAGCCTATTTCTGTTTTGGAGATAAGTGACTCAGCACTACACAGAAAAAAGCGCTGCAGCACCGACTGCATACAAGTCACTCTTTTTGGCACAAAACCTAACAACTATGGCTATACTGCCAGGGCCAGCTCTAGTCCATAAACAGCACAGCTGTGTTCACAAATATATCCTGTGCCTTAATGAGATTTTTCCGAGCCAAACTCACTGCACACAAAGCCAATTTGCATGTATCTGCAAGATGCAGCCTAAACACTCTTGCTAGCTTTGCAGGAGCTACTTCTAGTCCAGATGCAGTAGTATCTAAATTAACCTGTTTTTCTTCTATTATTCAAGGTATTCTAATTTCCCTTCTCTTTAGGTAACAGAGATGACTGTATTAAAAAGTCATTTAATTACCTGATCATCAGAGTCAGTGGAATAGAGAGAGTATCCAGACTCCACATCAGAATGACATCCTTTTCTTAAGCCAAACCTGAAAAAGTCAAATTCACTGTTTATACTACCCCTAATATGCAGCAAAGTAAAAATTTACTTTTATTCAATAATAGCAAACTAGATTAATTTCATCAAGAAACCAAATATCTTTCTCTTTCTGAAAACTTCGCATTGCTGCAACAAACAGGTTTAGAAGATATTAACAGTTTATGTCAAAGGAGAACTCAGTCTTTCATCAACAGTCTTACGTATGGCTAGTAACTACACATATTCAATCTTTTATACATAAAACACAGAAAGAGAGTCAACCCTGTGTTTCTATAGGCAAAATTTCTGTTCAGCTTGTGTCTGTCTATTCATGGGCTGCTCAGAACCTGGCCGTAGTGCCTCTAAGCTAAAAATGTTTTCTGACATATACAAAGGATTTTTGGCTAGTTGTGAGGTATGACAAATACATGGTTCCCAAATGCTCACATGCACACTCAATCTTAGTATTCATGATTAAGATCTTACTGTTTTCTTCCGTTTGTTAATTTAGCTGCTCCTGTTAGCCTTCCAGAAGACAGTACCTGTTGATTACAGAAATATACTTTGATTTTCATTACACAATTTCACAACGTAATTGAAGACTACCATTAACCACTAATTCGAAGGACTTTGGCTGAGGCAGATCAGCGAAAGGTAATTTACAGCTCTCAGAACAAGGAGCTGGCCCACCGCTGCCATGAGGGCCTGAATCGTGTAGCTTTCATTTTACAAAACGTGCCTTTACAGCATGAAGGTTCATTAATTTCCGCAGCATCCTACAGATACAGTAATTCACTTAGTGACCCAGTCAAGGCCTGACATACAAACATACGTTCCAGACTGAAACCAAGCTCTATAAACACGCACCCAGACTTTGGGAATTTTAAGAACAAACCACGGTCACTGCCCAAACCATCGGTACACCAAGGTGGATAAACCCTTGAAGGGAAAGCTTGCTGCCGTGCCCCTTACCGACGCACATCGGCGCGCTGGGCCCTGAGGAAGGGCTGCCGGGCTAAGCGCAGGCAAGCAAAGGCACTCGGTGCTGCAAGGCCCGGCTGCCCCTCAGGAGTCGTTTACGCAGACCGGCCAGCCCGGCGCTCGGCGGGGACAACCCCCTCGCAGCAAATCAGGGGTCTAATCAGGCACCTAAAGAGAAGGCTGAGACCCGACTGCGGGCGAGGAAGAGCTCCGAACATCCCTGCTCCCCCCAGGCCCCCGCCCCGCACGCACCTTGCAGTGCCGCGCAGCCCCCGGCCTGGCCATGGCTCCGTCCCGGCCGAC